GGCCGGCTAGGCCACGCCCCCACCGCCCTGTCCCAGCCTTGCGGGGTGTGGCCAGCGCGCAGGTGGGAACCCAGGCGGGCGAGAATTTTTTTTCAAAAGTGGTCTTCATTTCTGCAATGGGGTAGTAATGCTGGAACCAGAAGGTAAGAGACGCGTCAACGCTTTTTAAGTCAGTTTGTTGTGTTTTAAATATGAGTCAATTCACATTGGTAGAACCCTCTGCATTTTGCAAAAATGTTGTTCCTTTCCCTCTGTTTTTCCAGGAATTTTATTGGCGGGCTGGCTGTGTGTTCTTAGAAATTGACGCTCAGAAAGATTGTGCCTTCTCGCACTCGCCCCCGCTTCTCGGCCCCCCCACCCCCCAAAAAAACCCAAAAACACAACACACACACAACAACTGTGAGGTGACAAGGGCACAAGACTTCATTGTAACAGGCCCACAAATTGAAGCTCAGACAAGTTGTGATCTCCCCCAAAACTGGTGGAGGCCTTAATACCAATGTCCTTATTCCAATTTTATAGCTAGTGACACTGAGGCTCAACAAAAATCGTTAAGTGACTCACTCCAGTTCACCCCGTTAATGACAGAGTGTGAACTTCAACTGGGTTTGCTAATTTCCTTCCCAAGTTCTTCCTGTTATACCAGCTGCCATCAATGAACAAGCAGATGGCTGGCTTTGAAGCCAGGTCCAGGTTGCAGGTGATGGCCTAACTTCCACACCCAGCCTTTTTTATATGTGTTTGTGAATATTAAGATGACTTGCTTAGTTAGAATCTATTCACTAATGATATTGTCCTCACAAGTCATAAAGGAAACTCAGTTCTTAGAGTCCTCCAGTGGAGTGGGTGTAGAAGTAGAAATTGTAGATCAAGGAACATTAAGAAAGCCTTGAAAGGCAATTTCTAAAATAAATTAAAAAAATCTAAGCAAAGAACTTGAAAATTGTCACTCATATTCTTACCAAAAAAAAAAAGCTGAAAATCTATTACTTTTCTTGGAGTCATCAGAGAATTGAGATTACAAGGCAAACTTCCCCCAAGAATCGGGAGAGACAGGCAAATACAGAGAGTTACAGCCAAGATCAGCTTCCCTGGAGACAGAAGGCCCTGGAGCCTTAAGCTGATAAGAACATTTAAACAGTAACTTTGACAAGTTATCAGAGTTTGAGCATGGACTAGTGTGTGAGTGAGAACCTCCTGGGAGCTGCAGTCTTAGGGGAACATGTCCATGGATTTCCCTCCAGGAACCTCACCAGATTCTCAAGGTGAAGAGACAATGAAAAAACCCTCATGTTTCTGGCAGAGAAGAAAAGAAACCATTTCTTAAATATACCCAGTCTTCTTCCATAAGAAAGAGGCCTACTCAGCAGGGGGTGTGAGGATGTGGGGGCGGGGGGGGGAGACTTAGCCAGACAGACCCGGTAGTCCATAACTGCCCTCCCCTGCTGGCCTGAAGGGTGTCCCGGATCAGGGGGGGGGTATTACCCAAATCCAGCCCCTCCTAGCCTTCCTGTTTCTTCCAATGGGGGAAAGGATAAGAAATACTTGTGAAGGTCACAGCCCAAGGACACAGGCCCACTAAAGACTGAAACAAGATTATAGAATGCTGCCCCTTACCCTTCACCTTACCACCACATCTACAGGGCTCCAGTAAAATAACTGGGTTACAGTTGAAAGATCTTCAGGGTGCAGTCTCTATATAAGAAGTTTTTTAGGAAAATCCAAAGAAAAGAAAGACTCTGAAGGAAATTGAAGCCTCTGATATCTACCTGTATGGCAAACACTAAACACAGCTCCTAAACAGATTAACATAAAACCTGACCTTAAGAGCCAATTCACTCCCCTTCCCATACCAGATACATGATATCTGGATTTTAACCAAACATTACAAGACCTACTGTTACTGTTGTAAGTAGCTAGTTATTAATAACTAGAGCCCAGTGCACAGGCTTCTGGCTGAGCAGTGCTCCCCCTGTGGGAGAGCCCTGACCATCAGAGGGCAGCTCCTGTGTTGAACGTCTGCCCCCTAGTGGTCAGTGCCCGTCATAGCGACTGGTCATTCTGCCATTCGGTCAATTTGCATGTTAGCCTTTTATTATATAAGGATAATAAGGAGCAAAGGGAAAACCAAACATTATAAGCATGACCATCTGGGCAGCTTCACCAGGAAGCTGCAATTTCACACTCCCCAGGGAACCACTGGTCCATTCCCTGCAGATCACTGGAGGAAGGGACCCGACAAAGGGGAAGACTGATACATGCTCAGCAAAGTTGGGGTGAAGCAGGGAAGGTGCTTGTCAGTCTAACCTGGAACAAAGATAATTGGCTAGAGAGTGTGGAGCCACTGCAAGCTCATGAAATCTTAAAATCCCAGATTCTCCCTCTCTTGTTCCCCTGGCTTTGCTCCTGCTTCCTTGTACTCACCCATGTTACCTCCATAGCCATGTGGCCCTAGAATCTGCATGGCCTGTGGCCATGTGACCCCACACTTACTGGGCTGCAGCTGGGAACACAAGTTAAGCTAGCCTGATACTGGACTGGACTGTGCAAAGATGGAATGGGCAACACCTCTCATCCTAGCTCTGCTGATAACACAGCTGGACTTCTCCCATGGCAGGATGGAGGGAGAGGGAACCTTGGAAACTCAGGAATTTAATCCCACACCAATAAATATCACTCATTTTCCTATGCAAGTCTCAGAAAATTCCTTTTCTTGTGACATTGCAAGGAGCCCACTTCCACTGGCCACAGGTGGGGACACGGAGAGCTCCTCACTGATAACACTATTAACAGGCAAGTACAAGTGTAGTCTAAAGAAACAAAGCAAGGCCCTAGCTGGTTTGGCTCAGTGGATAGAGCATCGGTCCGTGGACTGAAAGGTCCCCAGTTCAATTCAGGTCAAGGGCACATGTCCAGGTTATGGGCTAGATCGCCAGTAGGGGGCGTGCAGGAGGCAGCCAACTAATGCTTCTCTATCATCATTGATGTTTTTATCTCCCTCTCCCTTCCTCTCTGCAATCTACACACACACACACACACACACACATCCATACATACACAAAGCAGAATCCGACTTGGCTGTGGCATAGCTTTTGTAATTATCAGACAGGGAATTTTAAATAACTATGATTAATATGGCAAGGGGTTTAATGGAAAAAGTTAACAACATGCAGAGCAAGTAGGTAATGTAAGCAGAGAGGTGGAAACTCGAAGAATAAAGATAAATTTTTTAGAAAAGAAAAAAAGTGTTGAAAGGAAATATTAGGAATGAAAAACAGTAATGAAAAGAAAGAATGCTTTTGATGGGCTTGTCAGTAGACTAGATATGGTCCCAAGGAAAGAATCAGTGAGTTTGAGATCTATCAATAGAAAATTCCCAAATTGAAACGCAAAGGAAAAAACACACAGAATAGAACATGTAAGAAATGTGAGACAATTTCAAAACATGTATGTAGTTGAAATACCAGAAGGAGAGGAGAAAAAGAAAGGAACACAAGAAATATTGTAAGCAATAATGCCTGAGAATTTTCCAAAATTAATGACAGACCCCAAACCACAAATGCAGGAAGCTCATAGAAAACCAAGCAAGATAAATGCCCCCAAATCTACACCTACATATATTGTTTTCAAACTCAAAGAACAATTAGGAAATCTTGAAAGAAGCCAGAGGGGAAAACGTCTTACCTATAGAGGAAGGATAAGAATTACATCAAAATTCTCATCAGAGACCATGCAAACAAGAAGAGAGTGGAGTGACACATTTAAAGTGTTGGGAAAAACAACAAAATACAAACCTGAAATTTGTTGTCTCGCAAAATTATCCTTTAAAAGTAAAGGAACAATACTTTGAACAATAAACAAAAAAAGTCAAGGAACAATAAAGAAAAAAAAGAGAGGGAATTTATTTTCAGCAGATCTGCTCTGTAAGAAATGTTAAAATAATTTTTTTCAGAGAGAAGGAAAATAATATATATCATAAACTTGAATCTACATAAAGGAAGAACCCAAAAGAAGCAGTAAATGAAGTTAAAATATTTTATTTCTTATTCTTAATTGATCTAATAGATAACGGTTCAAAGTAATAATAGTAACAATGTATTGGATAAAATAAATAGTAGCAATGTTTTAAGGGATAGGAGAGAGGAGCTGTGAATACTCTGTTATAAGGTACTTGCACCACTTGTAAAGTAGACTTAGATTAGTTGGAAATATGTATTATAAACTCAAGAGTAATTACTAAAAAAAGTTTAAAAAGAAGTATAATTGATATACCAGAAAAGGGGCAGGGAGAAAATATTGAACAAGTACAACAAATAGAAAACAGTTACAAACATGGTAAATATTAGGCCAACTAGATCAATAACCACTTTAAATATGAATGCTCGAAAACACCAATTTTTTTGTCAGTTTGGTAGTCAAAGTGAACAAAAAAACATGACCCAACTATGTTTTCTGCAAGAAACCACTTTAAACAGAAAGCTTAAAATTAAACGGCTGGAAAAAGGGATACCATGCTAACACTAATCAAAAGAAGGTGAGGGTAGATATATGAATTCCAGACAAAGCAGACTTCAGAACAAGAAAAATTATCAGGGATAAAAAGGGGCACATTGATAAAGGGGTCAATTCTCCAAGAAGACCTGACATTTCTGAATGTGTGAGTCTAACAACAGACAATTAAAATAAGTGCAGCAAAAGCCAATAGAACCTCAAGGAGAAATAGACCAAGCGCTTTGCAAATAGGATATGAGAGTAACAGTGCAAAAATTAAGTTCATGAAAGTTGCCATTTCTTCCGGGGGCAGCAAGATTGTTATAGAAGAACTAAGAGAGTAGAACAATAGACCAAAATGATTTCCAAGATACCAAATATTTCTAGATTCCTGTTGGAGAAGCTGCCGGAACTCTCTTTTATAGGATTATAGAATCTACTTTCAATCCTTTGACAATTGACACTCTCACCAGGAAACCTTTTAATCCCCCAACTAGTGAAATACGTTTCAAGAACTGAAAATCAACAAAATTTACAAAGAACCCCACCCTCCCTCTTCTCAGCCCAGCAAGCCCCCAAATCCCATTGTCACACCCCCTAGGGGATTGTTTTCCCTTCTGTGGGCCTCAGTGGATTGCAGGGGCTTTTTGAG